TGAGATCATAGTTTTGATCCCACCCTAAAAATATCTGTTGCAGTGTTTTGCATATACATATCTTTGATTGGTGCTTCAAAAACTTGCTAATAATTTGCTTGCATAATTTTATCCTTCTGACCCAGACAACATCAGAATCATTTGCACTGACTAGGGGCTCAGTCAACATTGGGTATCCTCATTTTGACCCTATCACTGCCTTCATTGGGAGCAATAGAATTGGCACCTTGGTACATGCTTGCTATACACACCAGGTTGAATCACTGCCCAAATAAAAAGAATGTTTTTACTTGTGCTGAGTTTTACCTGAATTAAATGAGTGTGATGATAAGACTATGTAAAATAAGAATATAGCCAATTCTTTTTCTTCACAGCTTGAATAGATAGTAGTGTAGGAGGAACAAATCTGGAGTGCAAGCTCGGGTCTAGACTTTATCACATGCTGTAGGAGTGTGGTATATGGAAAAGCACTGATGTTGGAACTATGTTTTGCAATTTCCACTCTGCTACTTCATATCTGTGACTCTGCTAAAATTATTTAAACTCTTTTTTGCTCATTATAAAGAATGAGTATTGGCTACAGAGTAACGGTAAGGCTTGAATAAGTTTACCAAAATAAAGGATACATAATGCAAGGAAGACAAAATTCAACTACATTTGAATCATTTTGTTGCGTGGAATTCTCATGTGTGTATACTTGGCTTTCGGCTGCTCCAGAGCTCCCTTTTTCTCATCCATGTTGGATGATTTAGGAAGAAGACAAAATGCAACTCATCCATAAAGTCTAATGCTTGCCGCTGTGGACCATAAGTCTAGCTGTCGTTAAACTGACTGACAGTGGTTTAGACTGAATCTGGTTTTAATGATATATACTAATAGAGAGTTCAAAACCTCAACACAATTAGTTTCTGATGATAAGTGCTAGATGCTTTACTGTAATCTTTCTTCCTAGGGAAAAAAAAAATCAAACAACAAAATTTTTATTGACTGAAATGTGTTTATTTCAAGCACTTCCCATACTAAATCCACTTTGGCTTCTCTCCAAACAATTTAAAAGTTCATGCCCAGTTGGCAGACAATCGCTGCATTCTTGGATCAATACTGAATGTAACTCCCATTACAAGTCAGCACAGGTTTGAGATGAACATGCTTCAGACAAGCCTGGTAGATAAAGGGGAACTCTTTGAAGACAACAGAGCAATGAGCTGCAGCCTTAACGTGGCAGGCTTATTTATTAAAATAACACTTTAGAAGGTTTCCAGATGCCAATGTTAGTTGCAGTGAGAGCTCTAACCCTCTGCCTCAGGAATGAATGTGCCTGAGGAAAACCTCAGCTTGTTCCTTTTATTTAGTGTAATTATTAGCAATGCTCCTATCATTCCAAAGAGGTTCGGTTTGGATAATAAATTATATGGTCATTTCCTTAAAGAGCCTTTATTTAAAATGACAAAGACCTATCTTCTTTATGATCTCTTCCTTGTATTAATCCAAGAAAATTTAGCTTACCTTTCCTACAACAAAGCCGTTGGGACTGACTTTATCTTGCAATCCTTTAACTATTTCTTTGAAGCAATAATTAAGACCTCGCATAAGCTAATGAGTAACTCCCTGTGGTTCTCTTAATGGCAAAAGCAAATAAAGTAACTTTGTTGGAGCCCACCTAATTTAGCAACCCTGGAGAGAAGCACTAGGGATTGGTCTTTCAAGCTTTTATTTACAAAGCAATCTCCAATCATTTTAGTTAGTTTTTCCACTTATTAAGTGCAAGCTTTTGTATGGACTGCAAGAGAATGGAGACAGAGAAATCTGATGCTGTGCTTTCTGGGATACCATGATGGACTTGACTCAGGATTATTTCAGATTTGAGTCATCTGCCTTCCTGTTCCTCCAGAGCAGGCATGTTGTGGTTTGGTAATAGGAGTACGGTAAGAGCATGGGAGCACTGGGATGCCTGGAAAGTCACCGTGGAAAGCAGGATTCCCTGATACAGTGTAGGTATGGGACACAAAAGCCACCTTTGAGTTCAGAGACCTAGCTAGATTTCACTGGACTGCTAGCCTAGGTGTTCACCATGTCATTAAAGGGTTAAAAATAAAAACTAGGAGCAATTCTTCCCACTGTGAGGAATGATCACAAGACTAGAATGAATGCCTCTGGAAACATATTGGACATACTTCCTGGCTAGTCAGAGAACTTGCTCACTTTGGTTGGTCACAGTCTTTGAAAGAGTGATCTACTACTTCAGAGAGGCAATGAAGCTGAATTTCCAGGACTCCTTCCATGGTCCTAGACATACTTTTTTAATTTTCAATTTTGCATTCTTTTTGCTTAAAGAGTTCCTCCCTCCAATTTTACAAGTTTTGGGCCTAGAAATCCTGAGTGTTGTCCTACACCATACAGCTAAAGGTCTGATATGCCAATATGTTCCTAACTAGAAGGAGAGACCAAATAAAGGTCAGAATGACTCAGCCTGTACCCTAGCTTGAGAAAACAGGTTGTAGCCTGCAAAAGTGTTTGGGGAGGTGTAACTTTAAGGGATAGGTCCTATGTTTCAAATTTCTACTCCTCTGTAGGTTTCTATGAGATCATTGCCCAGAGCAAGCTGGTTTTTCAGATCTATAGAACTGGGACTTTGGGTCTGACAAGGGTCTTATTTTGTGTCAGTGTCTTATTTTGTCAATACTAAAAAAAGCATAAGCACTTCCAGTTTCTGCGTGTTCCTGCTGTGAAGACACAGTGTTGGTCAATTCTGTGAACAGGTGGAATGCTTCCTGCATAAGTGGAAGCCAATAGATGAAGCTTATCTAGCTACACAAACATTTCAACCCAATACAAGTCAGCTGTTCTATACATTTTCCCTTAGTGTCCATTATGAACAAAGCTTCTGAATTTCTCTTTTAAAAAATATTTTGTTTATTATTTTTATTTTGTATAAATGAGTGTATTGCTTGCATGTATGTAAGTGCACCCATGTCATGCAGTGCCCAGCGGAGGTCAGCAAAGGGCACTGGATTCCTCTGGAACTGAACTTACAGACAGTGTTAGCCACCATGTGAGTGCTGGGAACGAAACCTGGTCCTCTGAAAGAACAGCCAATGTGCTTAACTGCAGAGCCATCTCTCCAGCCCCTGAATTTATCTTTTAAGGCTCATAAAACTGAACAAACCCTGTTGATAGTGTTTAAAACATGCCTGTCATTTTACACTGAGTTACCATTTGTGAGGTTGGAGAGATGACTCAGTGATTAAGAACACTTACTGTTCTTCCAGAGGACGCAGGTTTGATTCCCAGTACCCATATGACTGCTAACAACATTTTGTAATTCCAGCTCCAGGTGATCCGACACCCTCTTCTGGTCTCTGTGGGCATTGCATGACATGGGTTTATTTACATACATGCAAGCAATATACTCATACACATAAAATAAAAATAGTAAATAAAATATTTTAGAAAAAGAGGTACCATTTATTCAGCACCACTTTGGATTGTGTATTTGTGTGTGTGTGTGTGTGTGTGTGTGTGTGTGTACGCGCGCGCGCATGTGTGTGCTCTAATCTGTTCGGCAACTATGGAATCGAGGTATGATTTTTCTTATTTTGTTGATGTGGAAATCAAGGTTCAGAGGATTTATGTCATGTGTCTGGCTACCCATCCAGGGCATTGCTTTTCTTATGAGGGGCTTGTGAAGGCTGAAGGTAAAAGTAATGTGTAGTTTCAGAGGAGGAAGGCAGACAGATGGTGCTCACGTCAAACTTTTTTCTCCTTCTGTACAAGCCTGAGTTTAAATCTCCTTTCTGACATTTTCGTGTTACATGTGGACTTGGGAAGGTAGTGCTCAATCTTGCTTTCCTTTTTTATAGGGTGAACAAAATACCTCACTTCATAAAGACTTTGGAAAGATTAAATGAGGTCCAGTGAAAAGAGCTCCCTTCCCAGCACATTCAGGTACAAAAAAGCCCATTTTAGGTTGGAGTGCTTATCACCCACGCCTGCATGGCCCTCTTCTCACTTTCTGAAGCCCCCACTGAATTCTCACCTGCCTAGTAGGGCTGTCTCTGGCCTCTTTTAATAGCCAATCCAAACTGACTTTCCACACACCCTTTCCTACATTCCCTATGCATTTATCCCAGCCTGTCATTGCTTCTGCATCTCACAAGCATGGTGCAGGGTAGACACTTAATGTATGTTATTAAGTGAATGAGTAAGAAAAAAGGCTTTGACACAAGTTAAACCTAGGTTTGAATTTGACTTTTTCTTTACTATGTGATCCTGGGAACATGGTTGAGGTAGATCCAGTTCTTGGTTTTGTGGTTTGTAACATGGGACAAATAGTGCGCCACTTATTTTTAAGACTCCTGGGATGATTAGGAGCACATTATATAAACATTTGCTGTTAGTTACAACCTGTTCTCTAAACCGTCTCTCAGGCTAGCTCAGAGCCTTTAGGGTAGGAGACCAAAAATCCTAAAAGCCCTGGGGCCCTTGGGCTTAGACCTTTAACATTTGAATAGGAGAGAAAGGCTCAGAGTTCACGCCTTACAGCAGTTAAGAGATCTGCATTTCCATTTTAGTGACGCGGAGGTAAAGGAACTCAAACCGTTTGCTAAAGGTCATTCAACTCCAGGCACCTTGCAATACCCAAGTTGAAGTGTTTGGCCTCTACTGTGTTCCCACAACCTCTTCAAACTCTCACGGTGGTTATCAGGAGACCTGGATAATTTTTGACACTCCGTTCTCTCCCAGGCGAAACAGGCAATAACAACAAAACCCCAAACCCCTACACCTTACAAGTTTGTGCCCGGGAACAAGGCAAAAAAAAAAAAAAAAAAAAAAAAAAAAATCTCTGGGAATGTTGTAAAGAATTGTTCCAGAGCTGGAAAGAGCAATAACACGTGGGCCCCGTCGCGTCCGTCCGGGGAGTCGCTCCAGTCTCCTCCCATCTCCAAGACCTCGAAGTAGGAAGGAGGATCAACCCCTGGGGGAGGAGTTCCGCCCCACTGCCCCAGCCCGCCCGCCCGGACGCCTCGCCCTCCGCCCACATTGCGCTTGTGCCTAGGTCCCGTACCCAGCCCTGGCTGCTCTGGCTTCCCCGGGCAGGCTGGGCACTACCGGCCGGCCGCTAGGATGCAGGCCCGCCACAAGGAGCACCTGTACAAGCTGCTGGTGATCGGCGATCTGGGCGTGGGCAAGACCAGCATCATCAAGCGCTACGTGCACCAGAACTTCTCCTCGCACTACCGGGCCACCATAGGCGTGGACTTCGCGCTCAAGGTGCTGCACTGGGACCCGGACACCGTGGTGCGCCTGCAGCTATGGGACATTGCAGGTGAGCGGCGGGAAGGAGCACGCCGGGAGCGGGGTGGAGAGCCGCTTTTCCACTGGTTTTCTGCACCACGGCGGTGGCATGCAACTAAGAGGGAGACCCAGATTGCCAGAGCATGCCACTATTGTAAGGAACTTTTCCTGGTGGGTCGAAAACCTGTTTTCAAAGAAAAGAAGATACTTCGGTTGTTGTTGGTTTTGTTGCTTTTTAAAATCCTCTAGCTAAACTTCTAATGCATTGGCTTTCGGAAGCTCTGGGGCTCTGGCTGGAGCTGGTTCGCTAACTTTCTACCCGGACTTCTTCCAGAGCAGGCGGTCCCGGGGACCGCGGAGGCAGACTGCCTGCAGACGCATTCGATTCTCATGACCGTCCCTTCCAAGGGTGGGTAGGCCTGACCGGGCCTGGAGTGTCACATGTGGCGGTCATCCTTTGTGTAGAGGCTGACAGAGAGGAAGGGCCTGGGTGAGTTAAGGAACTGGGACAGTCTCAGCTAGCTGTAGTTTGCTGGGTCTCTTTTTTTTTTTTTTTTTTTTAAATTTAACTACTCAATTTATTCGAAATCCTATCACACTCTTTTCATCAGGCAGTAAAGTTTCACGTTGTTGACTTTGTATATATCAAGGACAACGTATCTCTCCCCATACAGTCTTCGTCTTGATCTTCTCTACCTTCCTTCATTCTGACTCTGTAGCCCATGTCTTAAAGGAGACCATTTTAGGACAACTTTTGTGTAAAGGCCTATGCCATTTGCCACATGATTTCCTGATTTGGTTCTAAAGTTTCCATTGAGCAAATGCATTTAAGAAACTTTTAAAAATAATGTTGGAAATCAGAATTTGACTTTGAAGCCTTGTACCAGGACTTAGCCTCAATGAATATTTAGCATACTCCAAGATTGAGTCCTCTGACTCAGGCTGCCTGCAACCTGGGCATGCCCAGCCCAGCCTCTTACTACAGATTCTGGCTCTACCACTTAGTCACTGGGTTGGGACATCCCTGCTAAGCAGCAGGAGGTTAGACAAAGAGAGCAGCTCAGGAAGCTTCCCTCTTAGAAGTTTTAAAGTTCTTTGAGATTCCCATGATCCACTTCAAATAGCTCCTCTTAATCTCTATTTCATGGTCTGTAGCAGCAGGAACCTCTTAGAAAGTGTTGGACCCAAAGTAGCCTATTGTTTTTTCAGAAAATACATTCATTTCAGCCAGTGCATTTGACTGGAAACATTTTGTCATGACTTGAAGTGAGAAAAATTTCTGAAAGGGCAGTTCTGATCTGGAGACTGGAGTGTCTCTGTAATCACGAGCTGCCAGGTCTTATGATAAAGCTCTTCGCCTGTGGACAGATTTATGGTTTGGAGTCTTTAGCAATTCTAGAAACACACGGGTTATCAGAAACATGATGATGTCATCAACAAGTATCTTATTGATCTGTATGTAAGTGTACCTGTGTCATACAATGCTTGTAGAGGCCAGAAGAGGGCATCAGAATCCCTGGAACCAGAGGTCTGGATGGTTGTTAGCCGCCATGTGGGTGCTGATTACTGAACCCAAGTTCTCTGCAAGAGCAGTCAGTGCTCTGAAGCACTGAGCCATCTCTTCAGCCCCTTAGTGAACTTTTCTTATAAAGAGTCTGTGTACTCTGTTGCTGCATATTTTACTGTTTGAAATCTCTTCTGGTTGCACAAAGTTTCCAGGATCTGGATTTAGAAATAGATTAGCATTTATTTCTTTTTATTTCTTATTTTTATTTTTTGGTCTCTTTGAGATAGGATCTCCCTGTTAGCCTGACACTCACAGAGATCAGCCTGACTCTGCTTCCCAAGTGCTGGTACTAAAGGCATGTATCACCATGCCTAGCAATAGCTTAGCATTTAAAAAGAGATGCAACTTTGACTAACCCTTCAAATCTAAGTAGCATTATGTTCCTAATCTTCTTATGTCTGTGAGTTTTAGTTTCCTTACCTAAACAGGAGAGAGAGAGGAGTAACAGTGATTCTGAACTCAAATCCCAGAGCAGAACACCTTCTGAATCTTGCTTTACTTCATATGTACTATGTAATCCTAAACAAGTTCTACAACCTTTTGTTTCAGTTTTCGTATCTGTAACCAGGGGGGATGCTTTGTTCTCCCCAATGAGAGAGGACAGTCAATAGTACAAGGCAGCGTGCCTACCACCTAGGAGCTCATCATGCCACAGATTTTTGAGCTACCAATTTTTATGCAAGAGGAACCCGATACACATGTGCTCATTAGGTCCTAATAAATTTCACTTCCTATATCATTCTGTCCCTGAATACCAGCACCATTTTTAGTCCTATCCATTTTGCAGATAAAGCAATTTGATTTCCAAGCTTGCTGTCAGAAGCAGTTTAACTCCCAGTCTTTGGAATGCTTTTTAAACCAAAGTTTCTGTGAAGGCTTTAATCATAGACGTGTAAGTAATTTAATCTGTGTAAGTAAGAAATCTGATGAACCTGAGGTCAATTCTATAGACAGGGTGCTATTCGACATCATTCTAATGCCCAGTGAAAATCTTTCTGGGAAAGCCTCAAGCTCAAAGACCCTGAACTGCATCAAAGCTGTGTGGGTGGCTAGGTCGGGAGAGGACAGCATGGCTGGAACATAAATGTTTCAAGATGTACAGGATCCTTATGGGTTATGAGTTTATATGAAATCCAGCCTGAACTGTCCACTCAGATTCTAGTTAGTCAAGAATACCTTCTAGCCTCTTCAAGTCACAGCCTGTGGTCTTCTTTCCCACAACTCTGGTCTGTAACTAAAGAAAAGGTAATGGAGATTAGTGTATTTGTTTTGAGAGGGTTCAGACTCTTGCTTTTCTGAGACAGGATCTCATGTGGCTCATCTGCCCTTGAACTCACTGAAAAGCCAAGAATGACCTCGAGCTTCTTATTTTCATGCTTCACCTCAAGTGCAGAGATTACAGATGATTGCCATCATACCTGCTTTATGCAACTCTGGGGATCAAATCCAGTGCCTTATACATGCTAGGCAAGACTCTACCAACTGTGTTATATCCCTAGCCTTGAAATTCATGATGAGATGGGAAGGGTCAGCCCTGGACCAGTAGGATGTTAGATATGCCCATTATAAAATAAATCTTTGCTCAGGTAGATTCTTCATGTTCATTTTGTTCAATGATGAGAGCGGGCCTAATTGTGCAAATATTTCCAATGGTGTATCTAGTAGTCACTTTGGCCATCTGTTTCTGAAATAAGATGACAAACCCCTCAAATCCCATAGAGAACAGAATTTGCCCCAGATCTGAGCAAGTCTACTACAAAGGAGTAGCTAGGTCAGCTCAGTGTTCAGAAGCTGCGTAAAGTCAGAAAAGTTAAGTTATTCTGCTCAAGGTGAACCTGCTGTCAGTGGAAGAGCAGAACTGGACCCATTCTGTCTGACTTCAAATCACTCTGTTCTTGAAGCCCACCAGCCTATGAATGCTTGATATACAGTTGGTTCATGGGGTTAGGTCCTTTCCTGTTTTGTTGGTAGGTGATCCTTGCCTTCTTCCTATTTCTAAAAGATTATTAAGATATTATTAGGTGCCACTATGAAGAAAAATGGAAAAAATAAATATTTGAAATCTATTTTTGAGGAATTGATTCTTGACTAATGTATGAATCTATATTTTTCCTTCTCTTTCTACATAGATCAACTAGGAAAGAAAAATAAATAAATAAAAGTTTATATTTGAGACTTTCTTTCTGATTATTCTGCAAATCCAGATACCATAGCTGCCACCACAGCACATTCAGAAATCTTTACAATTCTGTATAAAACTCTTGTACTTTGGGACACAGCTTCAGGAACTGAGAAAGTTAAGGAACTAGTAGCTACCGATTTTTGAGCATCAGTTCCTACAGTTGTCCTGAGAATTTGATTTCTCAGTAAACATCTGGTTATATGATAGTGCCAAAATTTAAAACATGCCTGTTGAATCTGGCCTCTAGGTTCCTAGCAGCTTTTCTCTATTTCTTTCATTTTAAAAGTACAGTATTTCAGATATATCTTAAATGTAATCAAAATTATGTAGATGGCAAAATGTAATATTTAAGCCGGGTGTGGTGGTGCATGCCTTTAATCCCAGCACTCGGGAGGCAAAGGCAGGCGGATCTCTGTGAGTTCAAGGCCAGCCTGGTCTACATGGTGAGTTCCAGGCCAGCTGGTGTTTCAGGGAAACCCTGTTTCAAAAAGACCGAAAAAAAAAAAAAAGTAATACTTGATATTGATCAAGTCATAAAAACTTGGTGGACCTCAGTTGCTCCACCTATAGAATATCAGGTGTTTGTTTTCCTGTGATACCACATGTTTATAAGATGTTATCTCCTTTGGTCTCTGTCGGCTTTAATATCATAGCCTCATTTTGACTGCAGTGTAGAAAATACATAACTTCCTTACTTGTAAGCCTTGTGATGTGCATGTTATTTATCCTCTGTGCCTTCCTTTCTTGTCTGTAAAATGGTGATAATCAAAGAACTTAGAGTTCTTATAAGAATAAATTAGTTAATTCATGTGTAGGTCTAGCACTTGAAGAATACATTATGTTCTTAATTCTTGTGATAAATACCACTATTGTACATTCCCTGCTTCTAGTGTTACTGAGGATGTATATAGAGAAGATAGTATCAACCTTATTCTGTTCTACAGAAAATCAAGAATTGGAGAAGCAAGGGACTTGCTTACGGATAGACATGAAAGAAAAGAGCAGAAATGGTATATTTATTGAATTAATGAGAGCATGTGTGTGTGTGTAAAATTGATGTCTGCCAGTCATCACAAAACTCAACTCTGAATTCAACAAGTACAATGCAAAGCAAATTATATTTACAGATAATTTAAAGATAATTTGCAGATAATTTCTTCCATGGACAGCTTTCACTGCAGAGCTCTGCTAAACTCTTCTAAATAACAAATGCCTCTGACAAGATCCAACTTATGACAACTTATGCTTTATTGTTTTCAAGGTGCTCTCAAGTTATGAAACT